TTGTAAACTGTTGAGTCCTGTGATGTGTATCCCCAGGGCCTCAAACCAATCGAGTCCTATGAGACTCGTTCGTTCACCCCCTACTACTAATAAGTCTAGTGGACCTTCAAAACTCTTGTATTGCACGTTAAGGGTGGCCTCCACCTTAACACACACTCTTGAATTTTGAAAATCTGTTAACACAATGTCAGAAGGCCTTAACTTGGCCTGAGTTCCACTACCGGAACAAATCTTCCTAAATGTATGCAAGGAGATGATTGAAAGGGCAGACCCTGTGTCTAGTTCCATAGATAATGGAACCCCTTGTAGCTTCACCTTGAGTGACAGCTTTTCCTTAATGGGCTTGTGTGTGCCTGTCCTAAGGATGCTTCTTCGCGAAGCGCAATACCCTACCCTATTCTGGCTGGGGAATCTGGTACCTTTCAGGCGCAGTTCTTCCTGAGGTTGTACCTTTCGTCGGCCCAGACACACAGCTGCAATGTGTCCTTGTTTGCCGCATGCCCGGCAGGTAGCGGAGCGGAACTTGCAGTTGGTTCTCCTGTGGCGACCTCCACAGCCGATGCACTTGAGCGGAGCTGAAGAGCTTCCCTTCTGATTTTCTTCCTTCGTGGGATGGAGACGGTCGACATCCTCGTCCGGATCCTCCTCGGAGTTTCTTTGGACGTCTTCCTGGTGCACAGATGCAACCTCTGGACTGTTTCTGATCGGCCGCATGTTCTTGACAGCGCCGCCTGCTGCTTCTTCTGCGGTGACTTCCCTTAAGGCATCTTGGAAGGACAATTCTTCTTTAGCGAAAAGTCTCTGTTGTAGATCTCGATGCCTTAACCCGCACACGAATCGGTCCCTCAGTCGTTCTTCAAGGACTTTGAACTCGCAGTGCTTGGCGGCCTTCCGTAATGCGGCGATGTATTCTTTGGCCGACTCACCGGACCGTTGATCCCTCTGCTCGAAGGTGTGGCGCCATGCGATGACGGACATCTTGGGGTGGAAGTGCTCCTTCAGTAGCTTCTTCAGATCTGCGTAGCTGACAGACTCTACTGGAACAGGTGCTGCAAGTTTTTCTGCGATGTCGAAGGCGTCTTGACCGCAAACACAAAGCAGGGTGGCAGCCTTCAAGCTCTCTTCCCTCACTTGGTTTGCCTTGAAGGAGTTCTCCACCCTGGCTACGTAGGACTCCCACCGCTCTGGATGTGAGACGTCGAACTCCGAAAGCCTTCCAACCTTTGCCATCTTCAGGAGACGGGTCTATCAGCCAGCCTACCCCCGAATGCGCACTGGATTGGCGGGTAGCTGCCGAGTCGACGCCGTTCCGCCGCTCAGGACTCACTTGGGTAAGCTTACACTTCTTCCTTTCCAGGCGATGTAAGGCATCCCACCTTCGTCGCCAGTGTTGAGTCCTTGGCGAAAAGCAGACACGAGAAGCAGTTGGAGTTCTCAGTTTTCTTTATTCTGCGTTCAGCTTACAAGTAGATGGCTTCTCTTGCGCCCAAACGCTCGCAGCCTCTTATATAGGCAACTCCCGGGTAAATGTGTTACTTTTCCCGCGCCAGCACCCGTGCATGCGCGCGGCGCTGGCGACAGCCTGTCTGGTCCCGGGCAGCTTTGCACCTGCCCGGGACTGCCTGCAAACGCCCGAGCCATTTGCAAGGCTCGGGACATAATACCTGATATAAGTGATGAGAGGAAAAGGTCACCAGACTGATCATAATTCCTAGTGGCTTCCTGTTGCTACCTCTGAATCATGCATAGACAATTGCACAATACATACTGTATCTGAATACATCACAAGAATCCTTCTCATAAGGTGTACATGAACTGGGAGAAACTAGTGGCCCCAAGAATGAAACTTTGGGATGATCATCAGTGAGAGTTCTAGCTTGCATCTGGAAGAAGAAAGGAAGTAGTGGCTTCTATTTTCATCTCCACATCCCAAACTTTCAGCAGGAAGATCTCACGTGGTCACTTCCAGTTCAGTCTTCTTTAGACTGGCATTCTGATGGATGTGCCTACACATAGGATATGTTTTTATTTTCCTCCATCCTGTGACACTTTTTCCCCATAAATAAACTCAGGATATGATTAATTCCAAGGCAGCAATATCCCTCTTTAACAATCAGTTAAATAAATCAGCCTTTAAATGTATAAGTTGAGATATGCCCTTGGAGACATTTGTTAATAGGTTCGCCAGAGAGTAAAGTTTGTAAGTAAATTTATACATTCTGGTGGCATCAAACTTTAATGATATTAGGCCTGGTTTTTCTAGCTTGCAGTGCATATGGTCATAATATTTTCACCAATGGGAATCATATAAATCATTGTAGCATTCACAATTTTTGAGATCCTTATGCCATTTTATCATCTTATTTATGCTTTGCTTATTTTGCTTAGTTCTGTAAGCAAAATCACCACAGTTTAATAATATAGAAAATAGCATTTACTTCTCTCGATTGTTAAACTATGTCCGTTTTGCTTTCAAATCAGAGGCAAAGCAAAAACATCTGTTAAAATATTACCCCTTTAATTCAGTTTGTTGAGAAGCATGGCATTTTCTATTCTTAGTACTTTGAGGAGATGTCTTGTCTTCTTTGCTCACATATGTAGCCCCTATGCAGTTTTGCTGCCTTCTTCTTCTATACCTTTTCATGACAATGAAGATGGAAGCAACCTCTCATAAACAATAGAACTAGTTACTGTTTTGAAGCAGCTAGCTATCAAATTTTGCTTCCTAAGTTATTTTTTGGATGCAAAATATTTTTCGCTCCTTGCAATCTACATAAAAGCCATTTTCTAGTTATTTAATCTATGTATCGTTATGCCTAAAATTTAAATTCAATGTTTGGGAGGCAAAGCATTCTCCATTCACAGGGCTTTTGAAAAGAAGCCTTGTCTTCTTCGCTCATGGATGTACCCCTTCTGCAATATCTCAGCCAACCTCTTTAATATCTTTCCATATCAAAGAACACAGAAACAACATCTTATAATTAATAGAGCTAGTTACAGTTCTGAAGCACATGGTATAAGAAAAATTCAAGACTGATTTGTGAAGATCCCTCAGGGACATCTCAATGCAGAGAAATACATTACAAGGAATCTGTATCAAATATTCTGTATCTCCCTCTATTGTTGATGTCAAACCCAAAGACAGAGAAGACCGTTGTGTGCATGTTCCAAGGGATGTCTTCACTTCAGTTGAGGATTTATTTAATTAGCCATTCAATTCAGATCTAATAATACAAATCAGTTCTCTCTCAATCAATTTTGAGTATTTCAAACATGCATTTACAAAACTCATTGACAATGGTGGGAATCAAATGGACTTGGCCGTGTCTAATTCCATTGGCCATTGGTAATAAAACTGAGCCTCCCAGTCGGACAGTAGATTCAGACAGACAGTATTTGACGGAGAATTCCAGAGCATCACCGAACATGATCAGACTTGGACATCAATGCCCATTTCTGATCTGGACTCACATTTCTTTTATTTAACTGTAGTTTTGCTTGCATTCTGAGACATTCAAGAACTTCCCTCTGCTTTCAACCTTTGCTAGATGTTTGGATACCAAATTTTTTTTATAAATGAGAACTATGAGTCATATTGAGCAAGATAAAGGGAGGGAGGTCTTATCTACCATCTTTCTCCAATATCCCAAAGCAACTTTGCACGAATTCTTGGTAGGTTTTGAGAAATAAGATGCTATAATTTAAAAAGTCCTTAGTCTTGTGGTTTGGATTGAAGTAACCAACAAAACCACTTAATTAGAAACTTGTTTTAATCATTTCATTTATTAAACCAAATTTACTGCCCACCTCACATTAAGGTGACTAGAAACATTAATTTCTATATTGGCAACATTCTCTTGCTCTAGATCTCATATTTCATGCCCTTACTATGTATTTTCTGTTACATTCAGCTTTATCAATGGGAGCATTGCCTGCTGATATTCTATAATCATTGAGCTCCATTCCCCAGTTCTGTTATTCTACCCTGTGATAAACATCAAGAGGGATAGCTACATTCACCACTATTGACTCCCATAAGTAAACCAAAACCAAATATCTTATTGTACTATATTGTATTGCATATGATCCACACAGAGTGACAAATAATAAAACATACTTGAACCCGAGAAACAATCAGGAGATGGTGGCCTGTATGGTCTGCTTCTGAAGATGGTAAGAGCTTTGAGGATGCATTAGGTGAAGCTCTCATGTCTCCTAGGTCACATAATGTGCAACCAGATGTGTTTTGTAAATGGCCAACCAGGAGATATGGGCAATTGTCTTTTTCCATTGTTCTTCACTAGCAAACCAATTTTTTCAGGGATTTGGCCTTTGATGTCAATCAGATGTTTCCATTCTTGATTATCCCATCCTCTATGCCAGTGACAGTGAAATGTTTAGAGACCGAGTGCCCAAACTGCAACCCAAAACCCACTTATTTATTGCAAAGTGCCAACACCACAATTTAATCTGAATACTGAGGTTTTAGTTTAGAAAAAACAACTCATAGATTAACATCTTTTGGTGTCTTAAAAGAAAAACACCTAACAAAGCTTTCAATGATACAAACAACTTTTTATTGAAATGTAAACTGTTTGCATAAGGCATGCCTTTGAATCATTAATGTGATTTTTGTTGTTGTATGCATACTGATAATTTGTCTAACCTTGGCTTATACTTTGTAAGTTTGAAAGCAACATATGCAGCACTCAGGTCATAAGTCTGTTTCTGGTGTCAGATCTGATATAATTCAAAGCTGAAAATGGCGTTTTTCCCTGCGAAAACCTAGCCAAAGAGTGAGGCATGTGTGCCCACAGAGAGAGCTCTGAGTGCCCCCTCTGGCATGCATGCCATAGGTTCGCCACCACTACTCTATGCTTTCTCAAATCCCCTTGTAAGACCATCTCAATGGGTAATTATTACATCTGAAGGCAGCACAATCCATTCAAAGACATCAAATCTGAACTTCTATTTCGGAGCCCTAGCAATAGCCAATCATCTCATTTTTTTGCAAAACCAATCCTTTGTCTCAGTTCAGCCTTCAAAGCATCCTGCAGTTGTCTGTTCCTCAAAGAGTAGACGATTGGGGTGAGAAAGGGAGCAATAACAGTATTCAGAAGAGCCACTATTTTGTTGTAGTCTAATCCAATGGTGCCTTTTGGCTTGATATACATGAAAATACAACTGCTGTAAGTGATAGTGACCACGGTCATGTGAGAAGCAAAAGTGGAGAAGGTCTTCTTCCTACCAGTAGCTGATGGAATACGCAGAATGGTGGAAATGATTTTGACATAAGAGACAATGTTGACATTTAAGGTCCCAAGCAGACTGAATATGGCAACTACAAAATAAGTCATTTCTAGGAAGCTGGTGTCAACACATACCAGCTTCATTAGGGGTCCATAGTCACAAAAAAAATGATTCATGACATTAGGACCACAAAATGGCATAAGAAATAAAGGAATGGATATAACTAGAATTAGTGATAACCCCCCAACCAAACAAGAAAATACTAATAATGAGCAGATTCGGGGATTCATGATGGTTGCGTAGTGAAGAGGGTTGCAGATGGCTATGTAGCGATCAACAGACATTGTGGCCAGTAGGAAGAACGCAGTGGTGCCAAGGACCAAATAAAGAAATACCTGTATGAAGCAACCAGCTAAAGAGATGCTCTTAGTACCAGTAGCTATGTTGACCAGTGCTTTGGGAATTATAGTACTCATATACCCAATATCTACCCATGCCAAATGTCGGAGGAAGAAATACATTGGGCTACAGAGTTGAACATTCACCAGTGTGATAATAACAATCAGTGTGTTTTCTATTAATGTCAAAAGATAAGTCCCAAGCAGGAGGAGAAAAAGGCTAACTTCAAGTGGAGGGTTGGCATTCAGCCCCAACAGTGTGAATTCCTTTATTGTGGTCCTATTTGCCATTAGTTCATTTCTAAAAACAGAGTGAAGATATTAATTTCCAGATCCCCATTCTTCTTTTAATTGCATGTTTCAAATAAGCATCAGCTGATCTGTTTCCATTCTTTGCATTAAAAATCAAAGAGAAGTTAAAAACCTGATGCTTTGAATCAGACCATGATTCTTCTAATATGTTATTCCAAACAGGGCATTCTGTAGTCTACTTCTGAGTGTGGTTAATCCAAGTGGAGCTACAATGGACCCCTCCATGTTTCAGCCTGTCAAAAACAATTCATCCTTGTGGACATGCAAAGAACTGTTTCTGGATGATGATATTTTGGTTATCTCACCTTTGCTCAATGTTCTCCAGACTGTTCTTCTGAGATGGGTTCAAATTCTCTTTCAATATTTTTTTACCTAAAATCAATGGGAACAGAGGATTGTTAACAGAATCAATGTGAACAGATAAAGATGATTAAAATGTATGCAGGAACTGGGTACATCTAGTCTAATGAAAAGAAAGACTTGGGATGACATGATAGCAGTGTTCCAATATTTAAGGGGCTGCCACAAACAAGTGGGGGGTGAAGCTATTCTCCAAAGCACCAGAAGGCAAGACAAGAAACTGTGGATGCAAACTGAACAAAGAGAGAAATAACCTAGAACTAAGGAGAATTTCTTGACAGTGAAAAAAAAAATAATCAATGGAACAACTTGCCTCCAGAAGTTATGGTACTCCAATACTCAAAAAAGTATTGGAAACAAATGGAACTATCAAATTTTATTCCCTTATTTTTGATGCCTAACATTTTCACCCCTTGCAATCTACATGTAAAAGTATTCATATCATTGTTATGATGTTATGCTATTGTCTCATTTTAATTTCTGCTGATAGAAGCCATTTTGTAGATGGTTAAATTGTGTTTCATTATGCCTACAAATCAGAGGCAAAGCAAATGCATCTGTTAAACTATTACTTCTTAATTCAGTGTTTGGGAAGCATAACATTCTCCGTTCTCAGGGCTTTTGAGAAGATGCCTCATCTTCTTGGCTCATGGATGTACTTCCTCTTCAATGTCTCTTTGTCTTCAATAACATGTCATGGCAATGAAAACAGAAGCAAACTCTCATAGGAATGGAACTAGTTACTGTTCTGAAGCATATGGTATAAGAGAGTTTTAAGTCTTGTTCCTGAAGATCCCCCAGGAGCAAAGAATCGCATTGCAAGGAATCTGTAGCAAGTATTCTCTTACTAATAAAGGAGAATATTTGTAGCTCAGCGTTGACATGAGGGATTCTTCGTGCTCTCTGACCTTGCTTGTTTCCTTGCAGATGTTTCATTACCCAAACTAGGTAACATCATTAGTGCTAGTAAGGAGTGGGGTTTGCTGTCAGTTTATATTCAAGACTAGCTTTGCTGGCTGAGGAATTCTGGGAGTTGAAGTCCACAAGTCTTAAAGTTGCCATGGTTGAGGACCCCTGTTCTAGTGTATATTCTACACCAGGGGGTCTTCAAACTTGGCCCCTTAATGTCTTGTGGACTTCAAGTCCCAGAATTACTCAGCCAGCATACCTGGCTGAGGAATTCTGGGACTTGAAGTCCAGAAGTCATAAAAGGGCCAAATTTGAAGACCCCTGTTCTACTCTATATTACAGAGCCGAGGTGGTGCAGTGGTTATAATGCAGTATTGTCGCTACTTCAGCTCAATGCTAGCTGTCAGAAATTAGGCAGTTTGAGTCTCACTGGCTCAAGGTTGACTCAGTCTTCCATCCTTCCAAGGTTGGTAAAATGAGGACCCAGATTGTTGGGGGCAATATGCTGACTCTGTAAAATGCTTAGAGAAGGCTGTAAAGCACTGTGAAGCGGTATATAAGTCTAATTGCTATTGCTATTGCTAGTGACTTGCCATCTGTGTTGATGGGGATGGTCATAGAGATTCTTTGATTGGGCTGTTTGCTATTGGCTTCATTGGCAGTTTCTTGATTGGGTTATTGTTTACTTGACTGTTGGTCTGATTTTAACCTTGGAGTTAATCTATGCTTTTCTGGTGCTGATTGCTGATGGAGAAGTGCTTGGGTCTTTTTGCGTCTTTTTAGGCTGGGTGATAGTCCCTTTTGCATAGTCTATAGATGTTGTTAATGTCTATGTGTCTATTGGAAAGATGTTAACAAGCACCTCTCCACCAGCAACCAGCACCCAGATCAGCATAGATTAACTCCAATGTTAACATCAGACCAATAATCAAGTAAACAATACCCCAAGTATTACTAGGTAACTGAGCAGGTTACCTAGGTTGGGTGATGAAATATCTGCAAGAAAATGAACAAGCTCAGAGAGCACCAAGGACCCCTCAAGTATTCTCTATCTGCTTCCTTTATTGATGTCAAACCCAAAGACAGAGAATATCATTGTGCTCATGTTCCTCATACGTTGTGCTTTGTTTTCTTCTCTGTCATGCAACATACCAAGTTTTGTTGTGGTTTGCTTTTGACTTAACCTCTGTGAACCCAATTCTCTGTGATCTGTAACTATGATACAGGCTTTGTTACTTTTTGAAGCACACAGTGCAAAAGGTGTTAGAAAAGTCAGGATGGGATTGGATTGGATTAAAATGGTATTGTGTTAGGTTGGATTGGATTGAATTGAAAGTTGTTTATAAGATGGACAGCTATGTAAACATTTTAAATAAATAATTAGGCTGTATTTAAAACCAAATTAATTTTCTAGTTGAATGCAACCCTTCCTCTTGACCATTCATGATGCTCAATCTCACCCTCCCACTTCTTTCTGTGGGGGAGTTATTGTGGGAATTAGGTGCTTCTGCTAAAACACGAAATTCCCACAATACTGTCTTATGTCTTACTGACTTATGTCTAAGGATGTAGCTTATCTTTTCTATTACATTCTCTTATGGGTGTCTTATGATTAGATTACTTTGTTATTTGTATGTACATTGAGAGTTTATGCACCAGAGACAAATTCCTTCTGTGTCCGATAAAACTTGGTCAACAAAACTATTCTACTCTGTTCTGTTCTGTTCATCTGACTATGTGGCTGGTGCGACCTTTTCTTATAAAGCTAAGAAATAGTTGCGGAATAGCTGTCACACAAAGCATTGGGACATTCCTGTTTTAGGGAGGGGGGACATGATTGGAGAAATAATGAAAAGAAGTGATCTGTTGAATCATGGGTAGTGTATAATCCATCTGGAACGTCACATCATATGTAGGAAATATGTCACCTTTTCTCCACTAGAATCATGCTGTGATGACTCAAAGGTCATTGATCTGTATCCAGACACAACACCTTACTTATTTCCTCCCAGCTTCCACAGTTTCATACCTCCAAATATACATCATCATTTCTTTATATCATTTCTGTTCTGTTCCCAATTTGGAAATATTTCTCATATAAGACTTAAATTATAATTAGGAAACAAATCAATTCATGTCAGCTGTTTTTTTTTCTTAAATAGTATTGATACTGCAACCCAAAATGATTTTTTTTCAAAAGGATGATGTGACAGTTTCACATTACGTGGGTGAAAATAATTCTGTTCCTTGCATACTTACACATATATTTGAAACTACATCACCAGTTACACTCCTCTAATAGTAACTTAGAAATTAAAAGCCAAGAAGAGTGAAAGATCAAACAAGAGTGCTGAGATCTAAGGAACAGCCAAGCAAGAATTCTAGTCCCAATAGAGGAGAATTTCAGTGCTAGTCTTCATTCAAGACCAAGATTACAACTAGAAATAAAAATGCAACAATTTCAAAGCATCAAAATGTACACAGATTGTTTCCAAGTCCTGAACAATCCACCATAATATAAAAACCACCTTTCACAAAATTTAACTCTGATGTAACTGTGGCCATACCCGTGCTATTCTTCTAGTAGAAGCACAGAAGCTCTTTTTTCACTGTGCTCTTCTGGAATGTATTTTTGATATCCCAATCTAGACTACAGCAGTAGGTGATAGTTCTCTTATCCATGTATCAACAAACACCAACTCTATGTTGATTTTTTTGAGATCAGCCAAGGTTGACTAAGTGTTTCCAATGGTTTCTTCTCACAAAATACGTTTGTGCCTTTGCAAACAGTCTCGGAAAGCATCTTTGACCTTCTCATTCCTGAAAGTGTAAATAAAAGGGTTCAGTAATGGGGTGACCACAGCAGTTAGAACTGCCACAGCTTTCTGGGCATCCCGAGAATGACCCTTGCTGGGCAAAGAGTACATGAAGATGGCACTGCCATAGAAGATGGAAGCGACTGTTAGATGAGAGGCACAGGTTGAAAAAGTCTTCCCACGGTTGCCACTGATCTGCATGCTCAAGACAGTCACAACTATGTAGAGATAAGAGACGACATTTACACAGAAAGAGCTGAGTAACACCAGAGGAGAGAGGGTAGATTCCAGAGTCAGGAGAGTATCTACATCATTGCAAGAAAGCTTTATCAGTGGAGCATAGTCACAGAAGAAATGATCAATAACGTTAGAGCTGCAGAAGGACAGTTGGCTCAGGAGAACAATGGGGCCAAAATTATTCATGAAAGCACCAATCCAGCACACCAATATCAAATTCACACAAACCCGTCCATTCATGATGATTGTGTAGCGCAACGGATGACAGATAGCAATGTGGCGGTCAAAGGCCATTACGGCAATCAGGATGATTTCACAGGTACCAAAGAAGAAATAAGAATAGCATTGACTGATGCAGCCCAAGAAAGAGATAGATTTGTTCTGAGAAACTAAATCCATCATCATTTTTGGTGTGATTGTCAGAACAAAAAATATCTCCAAAAATTAGATGTTGAAAAGGAAGAAATACATGGGGGTTTGCAAGCGTTGGTCTATGCATACCAGAGTGATAATCATGTGGTTTCCAGCTAAGGTGAAAAAAAACACAACCAGAAGCAATGAAAAAAGGAAGAATTCCATGGGCCTAGGTAGTTGGAAGCCAATTAAGATGAATTCTGTCACATGTGTTGTGCTATTCTGAGTCCTAGTTCTCATTGTGAATTTGCTGGTGGAGAAAAATCAAACAAAGTAACAACGCACTGCAGATTGGTGTCATTAGAAAATATATATTTTGCCTTCTTCTCTTAAGTCCCAAGTTCAAAACTGGAGACCTCTCATGAAAAATCCCCCCAGCCTTCTGAAGTCAAGAGATTGGGTTCTTCTCCTTCATGCCTCTTCTGATAGAAATGTACCAGCACTGAAATGACTTCTCTCAAGGAGCAGAAACTGAGAACTGATGGTCAACCTTCCTTCAAAATATAACTCTGCAAAAGAAGATATTTTGGTTGGATGATTGTTTTTCAGTCACTGAGTGTGTGGTTTTTAATAAAACAAGAACTTGTTTTTATGGAGGAAGGGGGCATTGCTGCTATTATGTGATATTCACTCAAATTATTCATTCCCATATTTCATGATCAAAGAATGTCTATAATATTAAAACTCTAGCATGAATGCCTTTATAGAGAAGTATATGAAGATACTTCTTTTTATGTAATTATATAAAATTACAGTCCTGTATATAAACCTCTTGCCACAAAGTAGAAGAGGTCAATCTATTCTCCAAAACACCTGAGGACAGGACAAGGGGCAATGGATGGAAATCAATCAAGGAGAGAAGCAGCCTAGAACTAAGGATCAGTGGAACAACCTGCCTCCAGAAGTTGTGAATGCCCCAACACTGAAAGTTTTTAAGAAGAAATTGGACAAATATTTGTCTGAAATGGTATAGGGTTTCCTGCTTGAGCAGAGAGTTGAGGTATATGACCTCCAAGGTCCTCTATTCTATTCTATTCTATTCTATTCTTTTCTATTCTATTCTATTCTACTCTACTCTACTCTACTCTACTCTACTCTACTCTACTCTACTCTACTCTACTCTACTCTACTCTACTCTACTCTACTCTACTCCACTCCACTCTACTCTACTCTACTCTACTCTACTCTACTCTACTCTACTCCACTCCACTCCACTCCATTAAACACTGAGAGCTTCTACACTAGAGATAAATCACACTTGGCCAAGTAAAGTATTCTTTAAGTAAGTATATTCAACAAAATATGCGGAGCTCAAAAGCACACTAAGGGAACATTAAGAGAACCATGTAGGAACTCTTTTAACTTACCACAAGTGGCTTTCACTTCTATTGGTACAAGTAAAACACACTGATCATAAAATACATTTCTTTTATGTCATGCAGAGCTTGCAATAATAAGATGAAATCTCTTGGGTGACATTGATGTGAAAATATCCATTCCCTCCTGTACTATCTTCTATCAATGGAGTTTTGCATCTTTCTATTTAATGCTGTCAGTTATGCCTTCTTGATTGACAGGCAGAATGATGCCTTCACTTAAGGCTTTTCTTCAGGCATGTATTTACTGAAGTCTATGTCTTCTGGAAGGAAGAACCCAACTGGTTCTCTGGAAGTGAAATTCTATATTATAAATCAATTTAACCATAATTGCTGAGGTTCTATGAATGACTCTCATCATCTGTGCTACTTCACATAGCATACTGGAAGGTATAGATTTCTGAATTATCATGGATAATGAGGCTGTGCTGCTTATAATACCACTGACACGTAGTGTTAGAAGCCGTTGAGGACAAATGTGAACTAGAATTGTCCTTTTCCAGTTTAAGGTCCTAGACCTTATAGCTCTCTCTATGGTTTCCTATTGGCCATATCTGATATAAGTGATGGGAGGACAACGTCACCAAACTGATCATAATTCCTAGTGGCTTCCTGTTGCTACCTCTGAATCATGCATAGACAATTGCACAATACATACTGTATCTGAAAACATCACAAAAATCCTTCTCATAAGGTGTACATGAACTGGATAAACTAGTGGCTCCAAGAATGAAACTTTGGGATGATCATCAGTGAGAGGTCTAGCTTGCATCTGGAAGAAGAAAAGAAGTAGTGGCTTCTATTTTCATCTCCTTATCCCAAACATATATATAGAAAATAGCATTTACTTCTCTAGATTTTTAAACTATGTCGGTTTTGCTTTCAAATCAGAGGCAAAGCAAAAACATCTGTTAAAATATTACCCCTTTAATTTAGTTTGTTGAGAAGCATGGCATTTTCCATTCTTAGTACTTTGAGGAGATGTCTTCTTGGCTCACATATGTAGCCCCTATGCAGTTTTTCTGCCTCTTTCTTCTATACCTTTTCATGACAGTGAAGATGGAAGCAACCTCTCATAAACAATAGAACTAGTTACTGTTTTGAAGCAGCTAGCTATCAAATTTTGCTTCCTAAGTTATTTTTCGGATGCAAACTACATTTTTGCTCCTTGCAATCTACATAAAAGCTATTTTCTAGTTGGTTAATCAATGTTTTGTTATGCCTACAAATCAAAGCAAAAGAATCTAATAAGATATTACCCCTTAATTTAATGTTTGGGAAGCATAGCACTCTCCATTCACAGGGCTTTTGAAAAGAAGCCTTGTCTTCTTCGCTCATGGATATACCCCTTCTGCAATATCTCAGCCTTCATCTTTAATATCTTTCCATAGCAATGAACACAGAAACAACATCTTATACTCAATAGAGCTAGTTACAGTTCTGAAGCATGTGGTATAAGAAAAATTCAAGACTGATTTGTGAAGATCCCTCAGGGACATCTCAATGCAGAGAAATGCATTACAAGGAATCTGTATCAAGTATTCTGTATCTCCCTCTATTGTTGATGTCAAACCCAAAGACAGAGAAGACCATTGTGTGCATGTTCCAAGGGATGTCTTCACTTCAATTGAGGATTTATTTGATTAGCTATTCAATTCAGATCTAATAACACAAATCAGTTCTCTCTCAATCAATTTCAAGTATTTCAAGCACACATTTACAAAACTCATTGAAAACGGTGGGAATCAAATGGACTTGGCCATGTCTAATTCCATTGGCCATTGGTAATAAAACTGAGCCTCCCAATGGGAGAGTGAATTCAGGCAGAAATTATTTGAGGGAGGATTCCAGAGCATCACAAAACATGGTCAGTCTTGGATGTCAATGCCCGTTTCTGATCTGGACTCGTATTTCTTTTATTAACTGTAGTTTTGCTTGCATTCTGAGACATTCAAGAACTTCCCTCTGCTTTCAACCTTTGCTAGCTATTTGGATGTCAAAAAATATTTATAAATGAGAACTGTGAGTCATATTGAGTAAGATAAAGGAAGGGAGGTCTTGTCTATCATATTTCTCCAATATCCCAAAGCAACTTTGCATGAATTCTTGATAGATCTTGAGAAATAAGATGGTATAATTTAAAAAGTCCTTAGACTTGTGTTTTGGTTTGAATTAACCAACAAAACCGCTTAATTAGATACTTGTTTTATTCATTTTATTTTTTAAACCAAATTTACTGCTCACCTCACATTAAGGTACTATGAGCACCTTACAACCATTAATTTCTATATTGGCAACATTCTCTAGGTCTAGATCTCACGTTTCATGCCTTTACTATGTATTTTCTGTTACATCCAGCTTTATCAATGGGACCATTGCCTGCTGATATTCTATAATCACTGAGCTTCATTCTCCAGTTCAGTTATTCTACCCTGTGATAAACATCAAGAGGGAAAGCTACATTCACCAGTATTGACTCCCATAAGTAAACCAAAACCAAATATCTTATTGTACTATATTGTATTGCATATGATCCACACAGAGTGCCAACTAATAAAACATACTTGAACCCAAGAAACAATCAGGAGATGGTGGCTGTATGGTCTGCTTCTGAAGATGGTAAGAGCTTTGAGGATGCATTAGGTGAAGCTCTCATATCTCCTAGGTCACATAATGTGCAACCAGATGTGTTTTGTAAATGGACAACCAGGAGAGATGGGCAATTATCTTTTTCCATTGTTCTTCACAAGCAAACCAATTTTTTCAGGTATTTGGCCTTTGATGTCAATCAGATGTTTTTATTCTTGATTATCCCATCCTCTATGCCAGTGACAGCGAAACATTTAGAGACCGAGTGCCCAAAATGCAACCCAAAACCCACTTATTTATTGCAAAGTGCCAATACTACAATTTAATCTGAATACCGAGGTTTTAGTTTAAAAAAACAACTCCTAGATTGACATCTTTTGTCTTAAAAGAAAAAAAAACCATAACAAAGATTTCAATGATACATACAATTTTTTTTGAAAGGTAAACAGTTTGCATTAGGCATGCTTTTGAACCATTAATGTGATTTTTGTTGTTGTATGCATGCTGATAATTTGTCTAACTTTGGCTTATACTTTGTAAGTTTGAAAGCAACATATGCAGCACTCAGGTCATCTGTTAATCTGTTTTGGGTGTCAGATTTGATATAATTCGAAGCTGAAAAGAGCACGCTGGCTCCAGAGGCTTGTTTTGGCTATGAAGGGGCTTGAGAAATGGCTTTTTTCCTGCAAAAAACTAGCCAAAGAGTGAGGCGTGCATGCCTACAAAGAGAGCTCTGAGTGCCCCCTCTGGCATGCATGCCATAGGTTTATCACCACTACTCTATGCTTTCTCAAATCCCCTTATAAGACCATCTCAATGGGTAATTATTACATCTGAAGGCAGCACAATCCATTCAAAGACATTAAATCCGAACATCTTTTTCGGAGCCCTAGCAATAGCCAATCATGTCATTTT